CTCCTTTCTTTGTTTAATCTCAGAATTGCTTCAATTAAGCTCTTATTTGGCTGAGTTAGCTTATTTTCGGGATAAGTACCTGAAAATTGAAATAATACGAAATCAATCTAAAACGGTAAAGTAAGATAGATAAAGGTACTAGAATGCCTAAGCTTAAGGGGTTTAAATACGCACTTTTCAGTGCTCATCAGTCAAGAACCACAAAGTCTACCGGGAAGTAGAATTTGTCCATTTTGATGATGACATCTTTAAGAATGCCCCATGGGTACTTGACTGATCTATCGGCAAGCTGCAAGACCACGGAGGTTGGCTTAAGATCTCCCAACCTGAGTTGTAAGTAAACTGAATATGGAATCAAGTTCACACTCACCCCTAAGTCAAGGAAGGCCCTCTCTATCTTGTTGTCACCAATGACACACGAGATTGTCGGGGCACCCGGATCCTTATACTTTGGAGGAGTGCTGTGTTGAATTATTGCACTTACTTGTTCAGTTAGCCTTACCTTCTTCGGTTAATGACTTTTGGAAGTGCGCTTTTGAGTGCACAAATCCTTAGGAAATTTGGTATATGGAGGAATTTGCTTGATAGCATCCAAGAGAGGTAGGTTGATCTTTACTTGCTTAAAGACGTCCCACGTCCTGAATTTTACAACTTTTGTTCCCAAAATGTGTCAACTCTCGGAGACGTTGAGGAAACAGAGCCTTAGGCTCATAAGAAGTCTCTACATTTGGGGTGACAAGCCTTAGCCTCAATTATCGACAAGACAGAAAATAAATGGCCACGATAAGGACCGGTGCTTTGTAAAACAGTAAAACAGGAATATCCTCGACAAGGGCTTCACAAGTTAAATATTACTAAGTTAAACTCATGCAAGATATTCCATAATTGTTGAGACTAGAACTTTGAAAAACTTACCGGGAGTCCTCTAGACTTACGAATTTTTTAGCTTTCCCTCGGCAAGCCTCGAGTCCCTAGAGTCTCACAAGCATACTTAAAACATAAATTAATCGAAACCAACAAGAAAATATCCACAAAACACAATATTCACAATCAAACCCAAGTTAATCTTTGAACCTCGGTTACAAAACCGTTTGCAATCCCCGGCAACGGCGCCAAAAATTGGTCGGTTGATGAATGCTTACCAATTATAATCAACCATTTGCAATAGCACAAATCATTGTAAAATAGGGCTATCGTACGGGTAAGTTGAACCACAAAGATTGCTAGTTTATGGCAACCAAGGTCTTTAAAATCACTTAGTTTGATGAAGGGGGTGTAGGGTTTTTGTTTGGTTTGTCACTTGGTACTTGGAATTAAAGATTGCATAAAACAATAAATTGAAGGAAATTAAGAGGAAAAAAATTTAGGTAGAGAGGACAAAGGAAGTGAATCAACTACCAACCATATAAACATGCTAGATGATGATTAACTTGGGGAAACAACATATATAAGTGGCCATGATATGTAGCAACACATGGTGGCTACATTATCTTCAAGAAATTCATGAAATCAAGAGGCAAGAATAACCTATCAAAATTTTACATGCTTGAACTACCTAAACTAGGGTGTAGCCTTAGACATCAAAGGACATGAAATTAAAAATCACATGAAGCCCTAGAGACTATCAAAACTTCAATCAAATGATAAAAGCACATGAAGTTGAAAATCAAGAATAGACCATCAAAGGAAGGACCTAAGCCATGGACTATCAAGCTTCTCAAATAACATGCCATTAAAACCATTCCACAATCTTATTTTCATTATCACTATGAAAATGCAAGCCATACAACCATGAGAACATACAATCTAAGAGAAGATAATAGATTTAACATGATCATTTATAGAAATTTAGGTCCATTACATCAAGTGCAAAGCTCTACATTATGAAACAACCACATATATACATCATTCCCCAAATTAAACCAAATCTAAGGCATGCTTACAAGGAAGGGCTTCATCACCTCTCTAGAAAGGGAGTTAGTTACCTATGGATGCAAAGGAACAAGGTGTGGATGAGATCCTCCACTCCATTTTCACCCTTAGCAGCCAAAAAAATAACTCACAAGCCCTCTAGAACAATATTTCTCTCACTAGAAATGTCTTATAATATGAGATATGAGATAATACATTGTATCAAGCCATTAATAAGCAACTATAGCCTTCCAACAACTCTATTTTCGTGGTCCAAAACTCCTACAGAAGTGTAATACCCCTAATTTTAAAAGGATAGTCCTAGTATTTTAATTAAGTATTTTCTTGTATTTTTAATTATTTAATTATTTTGTTGCTTGGTTATTTGAATTAATTGTTATTATTTGAATTAGTTGAATTATTTGAATTAGTTGAATTATTTGGATTATTTGATTTAATTGAATTATTTGATTTATTTGGAAAATTATTTTTATTTATTATGTGTCTTTAATTGATTTATTATAGTTGTTTAATTATGTACATAAGTTAAATGAGTATTTAAATACGTTATTTACTTAGGGTTTTCTTTTAGAAGTCATGTTTGTGTAGCCAACATAGATTATAACTTAGGTTTTGTTCTATGGGCCGACTAGGATTTAATTAGGGTTTTGTTTTAGCCTTTATATATAGAATAATACGTCTACTAGGGTTAGAAAAACCCTATTCACGAATCATAGAATTAGAGAGAGACAGAGAGTGGCTTAAGAGGAAAATAGAGAGGACCAATGAGGTTGATCGTGGATTTGAGCCGGAGTAATAGGAGGCTTGACGGTATTCAGAATTGCCGGAAACTTAGAGATGACGCCGAGATTTCAGAACTGAAATCACAGGCAAGTTCTTTTCTTCCTCTCTCCCATTGGCCTGTGTTCCGTGCACGTAGATAGTCTCTAAGAGATTAATTAGACATTTATTGAATCTTGCATGATTATTATATGTTAAATTGATTATCTGTTGTCTGTTGAATTTATCTGAATTAAGTCTTACATGTATGGAGTTTATTGTTTGTTTTTAGCATAACAAGTCGCTACCGTTTTAATCATTGTTGTTGAGTCTTACTGTTATAAACCAAGGTTTGGAATAATACTAGATGAGATATAAGACCCTTAGGTTCAGTTTAGATGAAAAACAGTAAGGTTGGAAGCGGCCGGAGACGAAGCAGACGGTCAGAAACGGAGGAAAATTGGACCAGAGGCTCTTAGAGGGGGAGAGAGCCGACTCCCTGGAAGTGGGATTCGGCTCCCACACCCTTAGAGGCGGATCCAAGAGGCATGGAGATGGCTCCATGGATTAGGGAGCCTGCTCCCAAGTTCATGGAGTAGGCTCTCTCAATTTTGCATTTTCTGAAATTTTTTTGACGCACTGTTTGACACTGTTTGAGTGTTTGAACTGTTTTGCTTAATTCTGGGACTTCACAGAGGGATTAAGTATTTAATTTTGGGTGTTATTAAGACGTCTAATTGAATAAGCTTTACCTCTAAGTTAATGGGACGAACAATATAAAATTTATGCACTTTTTATGCTGTTAACGGATGGAAGGAAATTAATTGCTTAGGTTAATTTTAGCAATTTAATGGGATATAGTATGATTATAAATCTTATTTTGAAAGCATGATAGGGTCATTTATTTATTAGATTTGATCTATGCATGCTCTGGATGTTAATTGTTGAAATACTAAACTCTTTTCTGCAAATTACATGGATTAACGCTTGTATTTTAATTGTTGAAATATTTAACATTATTTTGCAATTATCTGGATTATGGTTTTGGACTGTAAATTGCTGAACTATTATTTATGTTTTGTAATTTACATGGGTGTTGAGGATTGTATGCACCGGTATGGGACGGTGGCATACTAGGGATTGTTTAGCTCAAAACGCTAAGACCTAACCTATTTGAATAAAGGAATGGATTGTAAAATATTAAATCTTAATTATGTTTTAAGTCAGATCAACTAACTAAGTTGAATGACTTCCTGGATTAGTTGGTTGTAGTGAAGTCATATCAACTGAATAAGTTAAGTGACTAACTGGATTGTATATCATATGTCAGCTCAATGAATAATTGAATGACATACTCTAGTTTTGGACAGACTTTAGATATATGGTTATGGTACCACGAGATGAGCTTGAGTCTCAGGCTCGTTGGTTAGGGTGCGTATATGCAGTGGATGCGTAGCTAGCTATGAAAAGGAGTACCATTGTCGGTAAGAAGGCACTGAGGAATCCCAAAGCGACAAATGATATTCTCCTGTATGAAAGCAGCGATGGCCCCACCGGTTGCATGCTTGAGAGGGATAGCCTCGATCCACCTAGTGAAGAACTTGGTTACAACTAGGATCCACATATGACCTCGCACTGGTGGATGGATTGGTCTAATAAGATTTAGTCCCCATGTATGGAATGGCCAAGGGGCTTTAATGGGATGGAGGGGCGTAGCTGGGGTATGAATCTGATGATGATGGTGCTAGAAGGGCTTGCACTTCCGTACATGAGACTTGGCATCGCGCTCCATGGTGGGCCAATAAACTCCTTTGTTCAACAAGTGAACGAAGAGCTTGCGCGAGCCCTGATGCTCCAATTAGTGAGCCTTCTTGAGAACTTCCATGGCCTTACTGTGAGACAAGCATCGCAAATACGTACCATTGAGGCATGGCAAAAAAGCTACCCTTCTTAAGCTTAAATCGTGCAGACTTTCTCTTTATCCTTGCAGTAGCTTATTTATCATCTGGAAGGGAGCCATGCGAGAGAAACTCAATGAATGGGCGACGCCAATTAGCCACATTGAGAATACAAGGCTTTGTCTCGTCCATCATGGGTTGGCATTGTGGACAGGTGCGCTGCAGGGCGTTAGCCTATACTGCCATATCTGGCCAATAGTAACCCGGACGCTGGAGTCGTCGATACAGTGCAAGGGGTGTAGCACAGTGTTGCTCATGAGTTGCTTTGAGGGCTGCTTCGGCTTCTTAGGTGTCTAAATGTCTGGCCAATATTCTGTATGGTAGGTAGAAATATAGCAGCCCTTGCAAAAGTTAGAATAACTTCAATTGCATGACTGGCAATAGTCTTGCCCTTTGTTTGAGTTGATTAATGATTGGGGCTCGCCAGTCATCGTTTGAAACAGACATGGCTGGAAAAAGCTCAGTGATGGTAGCCAGATTGATGCACTTGGTAATGTGGACCTGAGTCGTGTGATCTGCGATTGTTATTTTAGAGGCCAATGTTGCAAGTGCGTCTGGATATCTATTACTAGAGCGAGGTACATATGTAAATCGGACGAAAGGGAATTTGGTGAGGAGCTTTTGAATGATGGTACGATAAGATGTGAGCGAAGGTTCATGAATGGCATACTCACTAGTCACCTGCTTAATAACTAGCTTGGAGTCCCTATAGATGTAAAGCCTCAAGATTCCCTTGTCTAGGGCTACGAGGAGGCCAAGAATTAGCGCTTCATACTTAGCTTCATTGTTCGAGAAATGAAAGGCGAGCTTAAAGGCCACGATGACTTGTTGAGTTGGAGATGTGAGGACGATCTCTACTCCTCCCCCCTTACTAGTGGAGGACTCGTCGAAGGCGAGTTGCCACTCACCAAGATTGTTGTGTATGGCAGCCACCTAGAGCTCGTCAAGAGGTAATGCATCGACGAGGGGTTAGTGCTTCTACTCTGGGAATTGGGCAAGTAGATCGGCCAAAGCTTGGCTCTTGATACCTCGCGGTGCATAACATGTAATATTGAACTCCGAGATGGCCATGAGCCATCATGACGCCTTTCCAGAGATGATGGGCTTAGAGAGAAGGTGTCTATATAGGTTACATCGTGTGATCAAATGGATGGGGTGGCCCATGAAATAATGTCTGAATTTATGTGCTACAAAGACAAGCTCTAGACAGTGGCATTCAATGGCAGAGTAATGAGTTTCAGCCTCTCGGACAAGTCGACTGAGATAATAGATTAGGTATTCCTGCCCCTCGACTACTTGCACAAGGAGGGCATCGACAGACTTGTTCGTCGAGGTGAGTTAGAGTAACAGGGGCTGCTCTTTGACTAGTGGGTGCATTGTGGTCGAGGAGCTAAGGATGGCTTTGATCTTCTTGAAGGCTGCTTGATGCGTCGCTGTCCATACAAATTTAGTACTGCCTTTGATCAGTGAGCTAAAAGGGTGAGAGACTTCTGCTTGTGCCGGTACGAACCGACGCAAATATGAAACTTTGCCCAAAAAACTCTTGAGGTTCTTGAAAAAGCAAGGGCGGGGCATGTCTGTAATTGCGCGAGCTTTAGTGGGGTCAAGATCGATCCACTGACGATGCACTGAGAAACCTAGAAAGTTACCTTGATTTACCCCAAATGCACATTTAAGGGGATTCATGCGTAGGTTGTACATGCGACATCTTTTGAATACTTGGCGTAGATCTTGAAGGTGGTCTTCTCGCTGTTTGGACTTTACCACTAAGTCATCGACATAGTCTTCCACTGTGTGATGCAACATATTATGAAAAATAGCAGTCATAGCTCTCTGATATGTGGCACCGGCGTTCTTCAACCCGAAAGGCATCACAGTGTAATGGAAGTTGCCAAGTGGTATTCAAAATGTAGTTTTGTGAGTATCCTCTTCGGTTATCCGTATCTGATTGTAGCCACTGGAACCATCCATAAAGGAAAAAAGGGAATGCCCGGCCGTTACATCAACCAGCGTGTCAATGATAGGGAGAGGGAAATCATCTTTTGGGCATGCTCTGTTAAGATCACGAAAATCAACACAGATGCGGATTTGCCCATTCTTCTTCTTCACGGGAATAATATTCGCCAGCCAAGTGGGATGCAAGATAGGTCTAATAAAACCTGTGAGAAGCTAGTTTTCAACTTTTGCCTTGATCTGAAGCTAGAGCTCTGGGTGATAGACTCGAGGTGCTTGTTTAATAGGGCGCGAGCCCGGCATGGTACTGAGATGATGTGTCACAAGCTGGGGGTTTAACCCTGGTATCTCACTGTAAGTCCAAGCAAAGATGTCGAAATATTCTTTCAAAAGACAGATGAGATTATCTTGTAACGATGGGTCCAGTTGCGAAGAGATGAAAATAGTCCGCGGCTCTTGCCCAGTAGAGGCGAGACTGATTTCTACGAGATCTGGAAGTGGCAGTGACTCATCTTTTACAGTTATGGGCTCAACAACTGGGCTCGCCGAAGTTAAGCCAGCACACCATCATAAAAGGTAAACATATCGCCCATCCGACAACCGAATCCATTTGCACTCCCAAGGGGTAGTGACCTCTGTGCTGCGGCGGGGAATGTATGGTTGTGGTGGGTAAAAAATGCCTTGCTGTACCTCTTCCCATTTGGGCAATGGAGTATAAATGATATGCGTTTCTCCTTCTTCATCCTCATCGTCTAAATCATTAAAGAAGAGGGCCTCAGTAAAATAGGCCTCGTGCTTAGCAAAAGGCTTATCTGAGCATGCGACCGTAATGACTTTGTTACCCAAAATGCCTTTGAAACATTGGTGATAGGATGAGGCCACTATGCCAAAACGGTGAATCCATGCCCACTCAAGGAGCACATGGTAGGAGGTGTCGGCCTTAATGACATGAAACTTGGTGGGAGCATGGAATTTGCCAACCGCTAGATCGACATTTACATAACCAAGGGTTTGGTGGGATTCATTGTCGAAACAATATACTTCGATGGCCTCTTTGACAAGGCGATCTTGGGGCAAATCGTCTTTCTCAAAAGTTACCCATGGCATGATGTTAATGGAGGATCCATTATCTAGATAAGTGTATCGAAACTCCCTACCATTGACCTGCGCAGTGACATAGAGAGGACGATTCTAAGGAGTAGACATTTTCTTATCAGATTCAAAGAAAGAAATAGTCAAAGGGGACTGCTAGGAGGTGTGCTAACTTGATGAAACTACTACACAACACTCTTCTTCAGTATATTGTGCCTAAGTCTTTGACTGCATGGGATTGGTTTCTTCTAGCTCATCGTAATACCTGACCACGGCCACACCGCAATGGCGAGGATAGGGATTGCGCCGCACATCCTTCAGCGCGGTCAACTTGAGATCACCACCCTTAAGCTGTTACTGAAATATTCACCTCAGAGTTCTACATGCGTTTTTCAGATGTGTGGTAGCTTGATGGAAGATGCAAAAATTTGGACTGGCGCGATCTTGTGCGGTTAGCTCTTTGTGAGGAACAAGTAGCATGACTACGCCATGCTTGACCCATTGTTCAAGGGTGTTGGCAACTTCTTTCATACACACTGGGAATGGGGGTGGATCATCAGCTCGCTAAGTTCGAGGCCTTTTAGCCTTTGTATCTACTTCTCGATGCTTCTTAGCCCTGTCATTGCGAGAAGCGACTGATGTATCCTTGCGAGTGACCTGTTTAGCGACCTCTACTCTGGGAGGTGCGAGATCCTTGCAAATATTCCACACAGCTATGGTAAGGTTGCTGAAACTGTTGAGTCCCAAATTGACCAAGTGTACTCTGTAAATTCTGTTCATGCCCTGTATGCAGATGTCAACCAAGTCTCTCTCGCTGCTTCCCTCAAAGCATTCCCTCACGCGTGCTTGGAAATGATAGATGAACTTAAGGTGCTCCTTGTGGTGCTTCTGCATTTCTTTAGTGAGAGAGAGAGTAGTGACCCTCTCGATGGCTTGGCCAAACTTGTCATGAAATTTTAAGAGAGCTGTTGCCATGTGGTGATCTAGTTTGGCTCGAGGTTTCTAAACCATCTGTAAGCGAGCCCTGTGAGGGACTTGGAGAATTCTCGAAGGCGCAGGACCTTGTCATGGCTATGCTAGCCTATAGACTCTACGAATCTCTGTAAGTGCTCATCAGCATCCCCTTTGACACCATTACACTTGGGGAACTTTGGTATGATGTACCCCTATGGGTACGGAGTTTGACCGAGTCTTTTTGGATATAGAGGCTCCGTACGTAGTACTAATGCGCTTGCAGTGGACAGGGCATGCTTCATAAAGAAATCACGTAGCATGATTTATTGATATACTTGAACCGGGGTGGGCTTTGGGGCTGCCTGGGCCTACGTTGGTGGATACCACAGTGGTGGCACATGAATAAATGAACTACCTGAATGGTCGTGTTCGGGCAGGGTTACCCTGGCAGGGGAAGCAGTTTTGGCCTATGTACTATCCATAATAAGGGCCTCCAGTCTGTCAAGGAGGTCGTTAAGGTCATGGCTGGACTGTAACAACTCCTCATGGGCAGAAGGGGCTGTTGAGCTCTCCAGTATTGTGATGTGCGGTGCACGAACATTGGAAACACGTGACAGCGCTTGAGACTGGAGGGGAGCGTCACCACCTCCCCCAACAGAAGGCTCTGAATGGTGAGTTAGCATATCCTGTGATTCCATCTGCTTGTACTGATATCCCTAGTAGAGTCGCCAAAATGTAGGGGTTCTTTTTAATTAAAAAGTAAATAATAATATAATGGTGATATTAGAAATACAAATACGAAGGAAAACAGAGGAGATGCTCAGTGTAAGAGGAGGAGAAGAAGACCAACTATCAAGATAAAGATGGCGGTAGGGCGAGTATACAATATCTCATGACAGCTTCCTCATCTGGGTTGGTTATTCCTTCATAGGATAGTACTATTCATAGATCCGGATTTCATTGGTTATTATCCAATGGTCCCTTCCGTGCATTGTTCATTGCATGCATTACTCCTGATCTGGATTAAGTGAGTAATCTTGGAGATTTAGGAGTCTGAAGGGTCTAATCCTTTCCTCGAGCCTTGTCCTACTTTGCCATGTCACTTCTCCCTTAATCAGGGGCATTAAATGTTGCTTGGCCGTCGGTTGGTCAAGCCTGACACAACATTAAATGTGATTTTAAGGTTTGTTGTTAGGACATGTATAATCCCATCATCTTGTTAATTGGGCCTTGCTGAGAGCGAAGGAACCTCTTGACTTCTCATCCACCAATGTAAGATCCTTCAAGTTTCCCAAACATAGATTCCCTATAACCGCGAAGAACCTACCTTCATTTTGTACTATAAACAATCCCTTAATGGCGAGCCCCCTAGGGCTCTAGTCCTTCAAAGTGATATTATCTGGCGTAACGCTAAGACTCGAGGTATTCAAGAGAAATTTGATGGGCCTGGAACGGTGCCAGGGCTTAGGGTGCTCGAGGATTGGCTCCTCGAGGCTTGATGGGCCTGGAGCAATGCCAGGGCTTAGGGTGCTCGAGGATTGGCTTTTCGAGGCTTGATGGGCCATGAGCGATGCCAGGGCTTAGGGTGCTCGAAGTTTGATCTTTCGAGGCTTGATGGGCTTGGAGCGATGCTAGGGCTTAGGGTGCTCGAAGTTTGATCTTTCGAGACTTGATGGGCATAGAGCAATGCCAGGGCTTCGGGTGCTTGAAGTTTTATCTTTCAAGGCTTGATGGGCCTGGGGCGATGCTAGGGCTTTGGGTGCTCGAAGTTTGGTCCTTTGAGACTTTTGATGGGCCTGGAGCGATGCCAGGGCTTAGGGTGCTCGAAGTTTGATCTTTCGAGGCTTGATGTGCCTGGGGCGATGCCAAGGGTTAGGGTGCACGAAGTTTGGTCCTTCAAGACTTTTGATGGGCCTGGAGCGATGCTAGGGCTTAGGGTGCTCAAAGTTTGGTCCTTTGAGACTTTTGACTTTTCAAATTGCCACGGAGGATTTGGCTAGGGTTGTATTGACTTGTTAACGTGCCATGTTAGCTTCTAATAAGTGACACCCACAAACAGTACAGAGAACATTTCCAGCAAGCATTGGATGACCCATTTCAGGTGAGCTCCAAACGTACTAATGGCTATCCTTGGATCAACAGTGATGAGGGCCTCCACAACAGCCATCCTCTTCGTTGTTGTCATTGAGGTTGCTGCTCAGTAGCAATTTGGAATGGGTTTTGCAGAAGCTTGGAGCTCACTGAACTGAAATGGGTTTTACAAAAGCTTAGAGCTCACCGGAAGTGGAGTGGACTTCACCGAAACTAGGTATAGTCTTGGTAGGAAATACTGATAAACATTAGTACATTACCTTGTTTATTAGTCCGTCATCAACCAAGGAACTGCTAATACTCTTGAATAGTTCAAACAGTCCTGCTTTAACTTCATTAACAGTGACAGAGGATCAAGAAATCACATATAAGTTTTCCTTAGAAATCAAAATGAAACTGAAGTAAATACTTCATATTGATCGTAGAAGCCTTAGCCAAAACAATAATCTATCTTCATACGATACTTAACCCAATAAAATCAAAAAGCCATCAAATTAAACAAGAATAATAAAATTTCACAAATGTTGACATAATAATTTTTATATGAAAAAAGAAAAGAAAAGAAGTGAACTTACAAGTTGTCTGTGAAGCAAGAACTACTGGGTCATCGTGTCCAGGAAATTGCTTTTTTTTGCTATGGAATGAAAGCAGCCCATTTACTGAAGAAGGACAGCTTCTTCGGTGCACTACGAAACTAGTGCCTGATGTTGGGGCTTCAACTTCACTACAATATATCATCAAAACCATCTTAACCTTGCAAATTACACATCCAAATTCAAACA